GGCTTTTTGTTGGGCTCCTGTCAGTAATGGATTCCTTGGTAGCTCTACTTTAGGGAAAAAGTTTTGTATTAATAGTATGAAAGCCTATTACTTATTGCATCATTATTATAGTTTGAGATTCCTTTAACAAAATCACTTTCAGTATTGGAACTCCTTTGAGTTATGGGAATGGACAAGGAGGGCAGTGACTTTTGACAACCTCCACAATCTGTAAGTAGGATACTCTCAAGTCATTCAGTCTTATTATTTAAATCTTTGACATGGAAATTGTTTTGGAATAATTTTTGGGTTCAAGATTTCTTTTACAATTTGTTTTTGGTTTTGGTTACTTTTGCAAGTTTTATTTATTTGACTTGGTTGATAAAATATGTCTCCAAATGTGGCTTAGAAGAGAAGATGGCACGAGCTGGTTGGAATTGATGAGTAAAATAATGACAAACTCCAGCTTATACCAAGCCTAGATTATTTTTATTTCTATTGTTTAAAAGCAACGTCAGAACTACTGAGATGACTGGTAGAAACTTAGGTGAAGAAGAGATTTTGGCATGATAAATCATAAGGTGATAGTTAAGCGTCATTCATACCATGGTATTGCAATTTGAATTTTGGTGAATTTGTTTTGTACCAGAGATAAAGGGGATTGCTTAAAGTGTTTTTGTTTAGAGTTGAAGTTCTTCTTCAGATGTATTTTGTGCCAATGAGAGGATTTTTGTTTGAAGCGTGGGGTTTTTAGGCAACAGGAAACTTAAGCTGTAGATTAATCCTCCCTTTTTCTTCACTGAGTAATCAGAGTTTCATCTCTTCCCCTATACAAATGTGTAACTTTTTATTCATTAATTTTTTTTTAATTTTTCACTATTTTGTAATAGAAATGGTACATATTATAATAAAATGTAAATTTTGGTACAATTATTTTAGTTACCGGCTTTATAGTTCGCATACAGGCGCCCTCGGACATCCACCCGGGGCAAGCATCTAGTATAGATTAAGGGATTTATTTATTTATTTATTCCATCCTTTCTTTCTTAAATAATTAGAGCGCCACGTGTTAAAAATGATTTTGTTTTAAAAGTGGGGAGATCATCAGAAGTAGACATCAACTGACATATCTCAAATTGTAAAGGATGACTTTATACTACATTCTTTTTTTCTTCCCCGACTTTATAGTACCTTCAATTTTTTTTTTCTCCTGCGGCTTTAAAGGTTGTATTAAGAAAATAATGATTGATAATTTAATTTTTAAGTATATTTACTCCTAATTAAAAATATTATAACTCTACAAAAAATTGAAATTGAAGTAAAAGAATACTAAATAATTGTCATTAATATATGTCATTAAAAGTGAAGAAATATAAGGGTAAAATTGAAAAAATGTATTTAATGTTTCATTGAAAATAGAATGTGACAGATAAAAAGAAAAATTTAGATTCACCTTAAAGCGACAGATAAAAAATCAGAGGTAGTACTATATTTTATAACACTACAATTTTTAACATGGTGTTTCATTCACAAATTTGTTATCTAATGGAAATTTCAAAGAAAAGAAAAAGAGAAAGAAGTTGCTAATAAACTGACAAGTACTTCTAGTTTTTACTTTTTAGGCCTCGGATATTTTATAGATGGTGAAGAACAAAAACAAAAAAAGAAGTAAAAACGTGAAGTCAAAGCACTGCCGTTTGGGCAAGTCGACGTGATTATAAACAGAGCTCATCATGGCAAGCAACCATCAGCATCAGTGGACTAATACAATGATATAGTATAATTTAATCTAATTTCACATCAAACAACCTTAAATTTGTCGTTTTATATCTATGCTACTAAGGATTGACTGTTTCAAATTAATTCTTAATTACTCCCATATGAATCATCGAATTAAGACATAAATACTTAATTACTGCTACACAGCTACCATGAAGGTTTGTTTGACCCACTATCTGCATTTTATAAAGCTTGTCCACACAACAGCCTTAATATTTATAGCATTTTCGTGCTTTGGACAACCATAAAAATCACGAGAGCCTTTTTAAACCAAGAAGAGAGGGTCGTTTCTGAATCTCGTAAATCATTTACGTTATGATGAACCATACAACAGCAAACAACGCTAAAGATTTATCCATGATAATTAATTGTCTTATATTTATAATCTATACTTCTTCTGTCCAAAAATAATTATCTAGTTTAAATTTTCATTTTTAACACAATTTATACTAAAACTGAATTCCTAAATTGGACAATAATTTCGGGACGAGGATTACTAGTTATCAGACAATCCTTTCTATTAGAGTATGTGATAAAAAGACTACCTATACAAACCTCAAGTTTATATACTAACAGGGAATTTTCATCATTAGCACTAATTGTTGAGCAATAGTTTGGACTTTTATGTATGTACTCACATATTTAAATTGATAATATAAACTTTTTCTGGTAGCCACTGATTATTTTACAAAATGAGTGGAAGCAGTGCAACTAAAAGACGTTGACCAAAAAACAGTTATCAGATTTGTCTAGGAGATCGATTTGGGATTCCTGAATCTATTGTCAATGATCAAACGCAGTATTTTATTGGCGGGGAGATGCAAGATTTTGCCAAAGACGCTGATTTCTTCCTTACCCATTCATCTCCATATTTTGCACAAGAGAACGGTCAAGCAGAGACTAGTAACAAGATTATCAAGAACATCATGAATCTTCACCTCTCAGATAATCCCAGGGCTTGGCATTCTCTGCTCCCACAAGTTTTATAGGTTTATCGCATGTCCAAACGTGGTGGAACACATGCTACACCATATGAGTTGGTCTATGGTCATGACGTAGTAGTCCCAATCGAACACTTAATTCCGTCTCTCCGTCTTAAAAATCAACATCCGATTGATTCTGTCGAGTATGCTCCAAGCATGTAAATTCAACAAGATCAGATAGAAGAAATCAGGATTAATGCAACTAGACAGCTTGAGTATGAGAAGAGCCTTGTTATTAAACAGTACAACAAGAATGTCCGACAACGTAGCTTTCAAGTCCGCGAGAAGGTTTGGAAGGCCATTCTGCCCATTGACCAACGTGATCCTAAATATGACAAGTGGACACGGACTTGGGAAGGACCCTTTGTTATTTATCGCCACTTAGGCTGCAACGTATATACATTGGCTACCTTGGATGGAAAAATCAGTGACAGATCTATCGATGCTACTTATTTAAAGAAATACTAGCTATCTCATGTAATTCGTTTAGTTCAGCAATTTATAAGCAATTCAGTTTTTATTCAAGTTATTACAAGTTTTATCCCCTTTCTTCTTTATGCCTAGCCGAATATTACATTTCACGAATTACATACTTTCGTCTGAGATTGTTTGCAAGAGTGCGTCAGTTTTTACTGATTATTTTCGCACAAACAGTTTTCAAGTTCAAATAGAGTTTTAACACCCTTTTCGTAAGCCAACATGGTTGGACAAGGCCTCTTTAAAACTATTCAAACTCTGATTAGTTAAAACTTAGTGGCAAATCACACTTATCACATATACTTCCAGGTTAGTAAAAGAACAATACAGGTAAATCAAATGCCCAATACAGATTAGTCAAACCGAAAAAACTATTTTATAGGTCAAAATCCACCAACAAATCTATGGAGCAAAAACTCGATAATCTCCATATAAATGTTCCAATATTTCCACCTTATTGGTAATGAGGAGAATAACACATCAAATTTTATATTAAACTTAGGAGATGTTGTGTACAAAAATCAAACTTGGCTGCTTTAATCCATGAATCCAGACAAAGTACAAAAGCAAAATTAAATGAAAAACAACGACTTAATAACTTCGGCTCTGTTTGTTTTATTTTTTATGGTTATTTTAGTTTATTTTATTAATAACTGTCTCATCCCATCATACTTTTTTACATTTTTAATACATTTTTTTATATTTTCAATACAAAAAACACCAAAAAACACACACTAAACAATCAAAACAAAAGTGTACTCAGTTTGTAAGTCTTGGTCTTCTTGGATTTTTGGGCAAAAGTCAGAAATAAAAGGTAAAGGATCCATTTCTATCAGTGATGTGTCGGCGGATTTTTCCACGTATATAAATGGTGGTCGATTTTTTCCCTCCAAAAAATGTAAACTCTATACCTCCAACCCGTCAAAACACCCAGGGGGCTTATGCCGTGAAGAAGTTAAATAGTGAACGCATTTTAGCGTTCCATGACTATTTGAGAAAAGATATCACGACAGTCATCCGTAACACGGTTTTAGTCATTTAGTGCTAAGATACCAATTCAAACTCAAAGGCTCAAAGTCCAACGACAAATGAAGAAACGTAACGTTTCGAAATAATTACCGATTTTGAATTATTTTAGAACAAAGAGACTATTTGTTCGATCGTAATCATTAAAATCTATATTTGATCTGACTTTGAACATAGGCCTAGTATGAATTATGAGAGATTGGCCTCCGATGTGAAACCTAATCATGTACTCCTTCCATTTCAATTTGTAAGTTAGTTTTAAATTTAGAAATATTTTTCAAAATGTAGGTCGTTTTACAAATTCTAGGCAAATTAATGATTATTTTTTCAACTTTACCCTCAATAAATAATGTCAATCTAATTTCATTTAGTCTTATTTATAATTCTAATGTAATTAATAAGGAGTAAAACAGATATTTAACAAATAAATTAATTGTTAAATAATTGTCTCTTTAGTTTTCTTATAAAGTCTAAAGTGACTTACGTTTTGAAATGGATAGAGTACTCACTCTGCCTAAAAAAAAAAAACACATTAAGTTTTGAAATTTACAATATTATAAATCTTGAGGATGATGATGATGATGATGATTATTATTATTATTATTATTATTATTATTATTATTATTTTGGACAGGAGGGTAATATTTAATATCCTCGTATTAAGTAACTTCATCATTTCGAATATTCTACCACAGTTTTACTTTCATCCACCTTGTTAATAACAAATGAAAATAATCCACAGCTTCCATACATCTTATGAAAGAAAAGTTCTTCAGGGGGGAAAAAATAAGAAAGAAAAAAGACGAAGAAGAAGAAGAAGAAGGAGAAGAAGAAAATGGATGTTTCAGATGTGAGGGTGAATTACCTCCTGGAAAATATCAGCCAATTGCTCACATACGACTCTACTCTCGCCTGATTTGTAAAATTAAGGGCGTATGTGTATTGGAAGATCTTCAAGAAAGTCTGAAGATTCTCAAGGGCGTGATCATGAATGATATAAAATTATATTATGATTACGGCCCACAAGTAGTGGATCGATCCACGGGGAAGGAAATAAGGGAAGTGATTTGGAAAGCTGAGGATGCCATTGATAGTTACTTAGTTGTTGCCGCTACAGCCCCGTTGCGAATGGGTCATTTCCACTTCCACAAGAAATTCTATTTTCTGGCAAAGCAGATAAGATATTTCGGCGGGAGAGTTGAGAATGAGGTGAAAAGACGGCCCCTTGAAGCACATCAAATTGAGGCTCACCAACCCGCAGGAACATCATCCAGTGAGGAGGTAAACTTTTGTCCAATTTTATCAATCAGGTAAATGAATTAAGAAAATCACATCCATGATCCAGCCACGATTTTTTTAGTAAACTCTTTTCACAATACAGGACAGATATAGATCATATAGTTAGATTAGGGGGTGTCATTAGAAGTTAGAAATCTCTATTTCACTTACTTGAATGGTAACATCTGATTCTAATTTTAATTGTTGTATTGTATATATCTGATTCTATTTTATACCAAAAGGCACACACAATTGAGGAAAGGCATGTAGTCGGGTTCGATAAGGCAGCCCAAGGACTAAAAGAGCTGCTAAGTGAAGGACCAGAACACCTTGAGGTAATTTTCAATAGTTAGGATGCTAGGACTGGGAAAGTCTGCTCTAGCTAAAATGGTTTACCAGGATCCTGCTGTTGATAACGCATTCGCGACTCAGATCTTTGTTCATCTCTCTGAAGATCATGACATAAAAGAAACGCTTCTCAAAAGTTGGACTTCGGCCTCCAAGTTACTCGATGATGAACAAGTGTCTCGAATCGATGTAGGAGATCTGAAAAGTCATCTCAGACAATGGCGAGTCCAGATTCATCACCATCACTGGGCCGGCCCACTACTTAGCCTTGGAGTCGATACCTTCCCGATGTGGCGGTCTATTGTTGATAACCCTAGTAGGAATCGGATTTCCCCCAAGCCTATAAATAGGGACCTTTATTCCACACAAAAGGTACGTAATTTTAATTATCATATCAACATACATACAACCCTATTTTCTACTTAAGCTTCGGAGTGTCTACCCTTGGGAGACGCCCGAGGCTCTGTTTTGCAGGAAACCCTAGCCGGAGTTTCACCCAATACCGGCGGTACAAATCCAAGTATCGCCAAGTGGCACGCCCAGTGGGACCCGAAAACTAGAGTTTGTGTCACTGAGCTTTTTTCAAAACCTTTCAAGCCGCTTCCAGTAACCAGAAAGATGGCGGGGGCCGACAGTCCCCGATCCAGCGCTGCGTCAACCGGCAGACAGGCGAGCCCCGAGGAAGGCGAAACTTTGGCACACTTCCAATGGAGGCAGAAACAAAAAAGGAATGATCGCCGGAACAAAAAAGAAACCACTCCTATCAAACCGACCGATCAGAATCGTCACCGCGAAAACCCTGATCCATACCAAAATCAGCGGTTGGCCGAGATTGAAACGGAACTAAAAAAGTTGAAGGATGATAATTCCCTCAACCAAAGGAAAAAGAAATATATGCTTGAAGAGTACAGACGCTGCTGCTTGTTAGGTCTTCCTGACCCAACGAAACGAGAGATAGAGGAATTAATCGAGGAAAAAGAAGCGAAGAGAACTCTAAGCCTCCTCGAAACTAGAAGGGGCAAGCGTCCAGCAACAAACGGAGGGGAGGAAAGAACTCGCAAAGAAACTCCCTCTCGAGAAGTTTCCCCCGATGAACGTTCCAAAACCCCCGGTGATACTTTCTGGGAAGCACTCGAAAAGACAAACCCAGTAGTTTATCAGGCGATTATTCAGTTTGCACAAGAGCACGAACAGAATAAGCAACCTCATAGACAAGATCGCTGACAATCACCCAGTGTCGAGGAATTGTCCAAGAGAGAGTGGGAACCCCCGAGAAGAAATGTCCACTCTCGAATGGAACCAAAACGGACGCGCGAGAAATCACAACATGGCCACCGTCGAGGAGAAAACCCTCCTCCCCGGGGTCAAGATAACCGGAGCAATCAAGATCCCTCGATTCGAGATTCGATGCGAAGGATGATAGGAATGATCGTTGATAGGAGTCCCTTCATCCCCAGGATTCGAGACTGTCCAAAACCCAAAGATTTTGACTTTCTCAAAGACTTCACCTGTTACACAGGGGACTCTGATCCTCAGCGATTTCTCAATAAGTACGTGCAAGTCATGAGAATTCATAACGCATCCCTAGATTTCATGGCAAAGGCTTTACCATCATTCTTGGATGGACAGGCACAACGGTGGTTCGGACAGTTACCAGAGGGAAGTATTGATAGCTTCGAGGATCTCACGGTAAAACTAGCGACCAGGTTTTTCCTCAGCAAGCAGGTCACAAAAATGTCCATCGACTTATCCTCCATAAGACAAGGACAAAATGAAAGCCTTTCGGATTTCCATCGTCGCTTCACCCGTGAATCTCTCCAAATTGACAATCTCGATGACAGAGATGTAAGGAATAGCTTCATCCAAGGACTAAACCCCTGGGGGAAGTCCGCCCCCCTACGAGTAAAGTTAACCACTAAACCTCCACAGAACACCCAAGAGATGTGGGCCACAGTAGAAAGTTATATCCAACGGGAACAAACACTAAAAAATTCCCAAGAATCTTTCTCAATCGTGGGAGAGCGAGGAGGGAAGGACAGATATAAACCTCAGGCTGAGAATAAACCCTCGCTGCCCAGGCTCGACAGGTTACTGACTCCATTGATAAAACCTCGACGGGAAATACTCCAAATCCATAAGGACGAGTTTCCAACTCCAAAGCCACTAACTCACGACCCGAATAGGTCCACAAATCAGTACTGCGAATATCACAAGGATCACGGGCATGACACGGAGGATTGTCGAGAGCTCAAGCGAGAGATTGAAGCGGGAGTAAAGTCTGACAAATTCTAGCAATATGTGCAAAATACGTAAGGAGCTGCTTGAGGAGATACCCGCAATCCTCGAGAGAAACCCGGCAGTTCTCGCAACTACCCCAGACGAAACAACAATCGAGGACCTCGGAGAGACAACCGAGGAAACAACTGGCAACCGAGGGACAATTCACAATATCCTGCTCAACCGGTCCTCGACAACAAACCACAACCCATACAGCAAATACCTCCTCTCGATCCCACTAAGCAAATTACCCACAACGTGGGAGCAATTTATGGAGCGCCTCTTGAAGGCCTCTCCGCCACAGCATTAAAAGCCTCTGTTCGACAGGTAACAAAAACTCCACCACAAGAGCCAAGTCACAAACGATTCAAAGGAACTGAAGCGATCGTCTTCACCGATAGTGACGTCGTCCCCGGCGTGTGCCCCCACATCGATGCCATGGTTATCGAGGCCATCATAGGTAACGTGGGAGTAAGTCGCGTGTACGTCGACAATGGTAGTGCGGTCGACATCATCTACAGCGATTGTTTCAAAAGAATGAACATACAAAACCCAGACTTGTGCCCCGCTACCTTACCATTGATGGGCTTCTCCGGGCACACGATAATCTCAAGCGGGATCGTTAGGCTTCCAATCACGGTAGGGACGTATCCTCGAACGGTAAATCTAACTATGGATTTCGCCATAATTGATGCTCCCTCGCCATTCAATGTGATACTAGGACGGCCGTGGATGTGCCAGGCCCGTGCTGTATGGTCACCCTACCATTTAGTTATGAAGTTCCCAACTGAATACGGGATAGGAATAGTCCAAGGCTGCCAACGCAGTTCTAGAGAATGTCTTCTCACGGCAGTAAAAGTAGGAAAGAAAGCGATAAAATAGGAGCCGGCAGTCACTTCACGAGGATGCTACTCAATCCAACAGGGTGTGGCACAAGTAGAGGATAAAGAGAGAAAGCAAGAAGTCTCGAGCGCGGATGTTGAGCAAAACCCGCCACTCAGTAGTAAGATAGAAGAGTTAATCTTGGATGAGAAAGAACCAGGAAAAACAATTAAACTAGGGATATCCATTGAGGGTGCACTGCGGACGGAGATAATCGCCTTATTGCGGACCTTTCAAGACATCTTCGCGTGGTCGCCATCCGATATGACCGGAGTTCCTCGACACATTATCGAGCACAAGCTAAACGTTGATCCAAATGTCAGACTGGTGAAACAAAAGAAGAGGATCTTCGCTCGAGATCGCAATAACGTAATTAACGAGGAAACCCTCAAGCTAGTGCGGGCCAACATCTTGAAAGAGGTGCTTTGGCCAACTTGGCTGGCAAACCCCGTCCTTGTCCGCAAACCCGACAATCCCTGGCGTATGTGCCAAGATTACACAAATCTCAACAAATACTGTCCAAAAGATTGTTACACCTTGCCTGTAATCGACCAAATGGTGGAAGGTATTACAGGCCACAGGACTCTCAGTTTCCTCGACGCGTATAAAGGATACCATCAGATTCACATGGCCAAGGAGGACGCAGAAAAGACGGCTTATATCACAGAGATCGGAGTATACTGTTACGACAAAATGCCGTTTGGGCTGAAAAATGCTGGAGCTACCTACCAGCGTTTGGTTAATAGAGCCTTCCATAATCAGATACGGAGAAACATCGAGATATACGTGGATGACATGGTTATCAAGAGCAACTCGGACTGCAAAGTGGTCGAGGACATGCAGGAGATCTTCACAATCCTGCGCAAAATCAACATGAAACTCAATCCAAAAAAGTGCGCCTTTTGTGTAGGGTCTGGAAAGTTCCTCGGATTTCGGGTATCCAAGGAGGGGATAAGCGTAGACCCTGCAAAGGTTGAAGCAATCCTATCAATGGAAGCCCCGAAAACTGTTAAGGACGTACAAAAACTCACAGGATTCCTAGCAGCACTCAACAGGTTTCTATCTCGAGCAGCAGAGAGAAGCCTTCCCTTCTTCAAAACTCTAAGAAAAGGGAAGGGTTTCCAATGGACCGAGGAATGTCAAAAAGCCTTCCAGGAGCTAAAAGAACATCTCAAGCAACTCCCTATGCTCGCAAAGCCACAACCGGGTGAAGTTCTATACATCTATTTGGCTACCCGAGAAACGGCCATCTCCGTAGTGCTAATCCAGAAGAAAGACAATAAGGAGCTCCCAGTCTATTTCGTCAGCAAAGTCTTACAAGGAGCAGAATCTCGATATACCCCCATGGAGAAACTTATCCTGAGCCTTGTGCTCGCTGCACGACGGTTGCGTTCGTACTTTCAGGCTCATCCTATACAAGTCCTAACTGAACAACCCATCCAACAAGTCCTCCTCAAACTTGAAGCATCAGGCCGAATGATGAAATGGGCGGTCGAGTTGGGGGAACATCACATCGAGTACAAACCCCGTACAGCCGTCAAAGGACAGGCGTTCGCAGATTTCCTGGTAGAAATGCCCAGAACCCCGGGCACCACGCAAGAATCGATTTCGAGGAAACAACTGCGCGAACAACCCCCCACAGATCCTCGAGCCTGGACCCTATACGTTGACGGCTCTTCCTGCGAAGATGGGGGAGGAGCAGGTATCATCCTAGCAAAACCAGTCGCATCTTGAGAAGTCGAGGAACTGAAAGAATACGATGCAGAATATTCCTACGCTCTGAGGTTTGGTTTCCCAGCCACCAATAATATTACCGAATACGAGGCAATGATTACGGGGTTAAACGTGGCCCTCAAATTAGGAGTTCAAAACCTGCAAGTATTCAGTGACTCTCAAGTAGTGGTCAAACAAATCAAAGGCGAATACACAGTCCGGGAGGAGCATCTCCGACCATACCTCGAGAAGGTCTTACAAATCAAAGATAAATTTGAAGAATGCTCCATCTCCCATGTTCTCAGAACCAACAACAAGAGGGCCGACGCTTTAAGTAAGCTCGCCTCATCCAATTTCGCTAACCTCAGTCATAAGGTTTGGGTCGAGACACTCCCGGAGCCCAGCATTCACCCTAGAGTTTCCATGGCTATCACCGAGGACGGAGAAAC